TCTAAACTCTGCAATCAAAAGATATAGATTGGCAGAATGGAGTAAAAAACATAAGTCCTAACCATATGTTGTTTACAAGAGACTCGCCTTACAGGCAAAAACATTCACAAGCTAAAAATGAAAAGATGGAAAAATAAATGTCATGCAAATAGAGACCAAAAGTAAGCAGGAACAGCTTTTCTCACATCTAACAAAGTAGATTTTAAGTCAAAATTGACCCAAATAGACAAAGAAGGTCACTTTAATACTGGTTAAGGGAATCATCCAACAAAAAGATACTATAATTGTAAATACTTATGCCCCAAATATCAGTGCACGTAAAACAAACCCTTCTCGATATAAAGAACCAACAAGACCACAACACAATAATAAAAGGTGATTTTAATATACCTCTTTCACCAATAGATAGATCATGCAGACATAAATAAAGACCCTTCAGAACTAAAAAATATTATTAATCAAAGGAACATAACAGACATCTATAGACTATTTCATCTGTCAACAACTGAATTCACTTTTTTAGCTGCACAGAGAACCTTTTCTAAAAAACATCTTATTTTAGGACACATAGCAAGTCTTCACACATGGAAAAAAAATACATAAATTCCTTGCCTCTCATCACATCATAATAGAATGAAATTACAAATCAATAACAAGATAAAAACAGAAATCATATTAATACCTGTATATCAAATAATGTACTTTTAAATGAGAATCAGGGGTGAAATCAAAAAAATTCTTAGAAGAATATGAGAACAGAGACACAACATACAATAACTCTGGGACAGTACGAAGGCAGTTCTAAGAGGAAAATTTATAGCATTGAGTGTCTATATTAAAAAAATAAAAAAGAAAGATCCAAAATAAATAATCTAATGCTACACCTCAAGGTCTTAGAAAAGGAAGAATAATGGGCTGCAGTTATAGCTCAATGGCAGAGTGCTTGCCTCACATGTGTGAGGCACTGGGTTCAATTCTCAGCACCWCATAAAAATAGAACAAAATAAAGACATGCTGTCCATCTATAATTACAAAAAAAAAAATTAAAAGAAAAGGAAGAATAAATGAATTCCAGAATTAGTAGGAGACAGGAAAAATTAAGATCTGGATCAAAATTAGTGAAATTTGTAATTAAAAATAAGTAAAAATATCAATGCAACAAAGAGTTGGTTCTTTGAAGAGATAAACCAGGATCTACTAGAAAATAAAATGAGGAGTAAAAAAGACTATTTTTCAATATTACTGTATATCATCTCTTCCTTATCTGAGTGCTCACAAATCACCTAAAAATCTATTATAGAATTTTTCCCAGAATAAAAGGCAAGAATAACTTTGTATGAATTAGAAAAAMCACCATATTTATTTATTTACTTAAGAAAGGAATAAAATGATCTTCCTTTCAGTAACAGAATAGGTGAAATCAATGTGAAATATACAGTATCTAATCTGAGTTTTATTTATAGATATAATTTAAGACAGGGTAAGCAAAAATAAAAGTTTAACCACACATATGAGGAAATCATAAAGTTAAGTTTAAAATATTATATCAAAGAATATCTTTAATTACAGAAGTATACTGGAGGAATTTAAAGGCAAAATCTCACATCTTCTGTTTACTTTCAAATAGTTCAAACACACACACACACACACACACACACACACACACACAGTCTACGTGTTTTACATGTGTAAGCATACATAGCAAAATGCTAACATTGCTTTATCTAAGTAGAGTAAAGGGTTTGCTATTCCTTCAACTTTATGGTTTAAATTTTCATAATAAAATACTGGCGGAAAACAAAACTCACAGTTTTTATATGGTCTTACATTATATGCTCTCCTGACCATAATATATGCCCATAAAAGGGATAGTCTGTCAACTAATATACCGAATTATTTGAAATATAGGATGGCATATGTTTGAAAGTGATCAAATCATATTGCTATGAAAATACCAGGCTCCATGTAGATTTTCTAAGCAGAATTTTGCTTTTAACAAAGCCTGGTTTTGGTTGGCCTCATAGACAAAGGAGTTATACTTTTGAAATTCTTGGTTATCCAGCTAATTGTTTTGCATAATGCTTTGGGACCATTTCTATAAACTAGACTCATTATATGAGCAATCGTAGCCATTAAGATCTGAATGTACAGGTTGTTGTTGCTACTCTTATGCCAAAAGAGAAATCCTTGTCAGAAAGAATATAAAAGAGTAGGCAAAAAATAATTCTCCCTWTAGGCTGAATTACATATAAGTTATATAAATATAACTTATGCTAAAAGCAGTTAACATAAAAAATGTTTCTAGACTGGGGTTATAGCTCAGCTGGTAGAGTGCTGGCTGGCCTAAGATGCACAAGGCCATGGGTTCAATCCCCAGCACCATCACCAAAAAATAAAATGTCCCAGATGATCTATTTAAATTTAATGTGAGTTAAAATGTACTTACTTCATCAGACTTGAAGAGAAATAAAGCCCACGATGAAACTTAATTTTAAATTATTACAATCTCATAGAGCACACTGGCATGATCCAAATAATATGGGAAGGAAGTACCAGCAACTCAATTATTTAGGTCAGAATTATACATGTTGGCCTAAAATATTCATCTGTACATAATGTGTAGCGACAGTTACACATTCTACCTAACACTGTCCCACTGAGAAACCCTAATGAAAATATATTTGTTCAATTAAATCTGAAACCTTGACTACTCAGGATGAGATAAAAGAATGTTCTGATGTGGAAGCAAAAAACAGGACTTTGAACACTGAAACTAAACTAAATAAGCAACAAAGACCAGAAGAAGGACTGGGGCTATAGCTCAGCGGCAAAGCGCTTACCTTCCATATGGGAGGCACTGGGTTTGATCCTCAGAAACACAGAAAAAAA